CACTCAACGAAAAAAAGAACTCAAGCATCATAAAAATGCAGTTAATGTCGAGGAAAGCGTTTGCCAACTTTTTTAAGAATATCGAAAAGCAACCAAAGTGACACTAAATGGAGAGAATAGCTCTTTAGCATAATTGAATACTGAATACTCTTACAGACTGCTTATATAAGGAAAATGCATATGAATATGAATATGAGTATAAATAAGAATTTGTTATACAAAAGTACGCTTTCAATTGATTACTTTTTAATTAAGTCTTGAATATACGAAAGATGAATATCATATATAGAGTAAGCAATATACTCTGAAACTTTTAACAAACAAAAACTGATAAGAAGAATAAGTATGTTTTATTCATTTTAACCAGGCTTATACCAAGTTATATATGCACTTTTACACCAAGTTTCATTGGCATATTCGAGTTATATGTTCAGTTCAGTGGTGCAGACAAATAAAATGATTATTCCATTTGCCCAATTAGAGCGCGTTCTGTTAACTACAATGATTTGCAAGTTGAATACCAAAATACCAAATGCCCCTTTGCAAGGGTATTGCACAAGAAAAGAAAAGGCAAAAATAAATTGGTATACAAAATCAAGGCACGCCCCCTGCTGCAGTGCGAGATTAAAAAAGTTGGCGTTCGCCTTTTTTGAGCTGCTGTAAAAGAGATTTTAATTAATATTTACAATACAAGAAAGTTTGTTCCAGCGCCAGCTCGATCTGCAGCTGCCATTAAACATGCCCTCCTTTACCTTATACCATTGCAGGTGCGCTATTGCCACTCGCTGAGCGACGAGGAGCGCAAGGAGCTGCGCATATTTTCGGCGCAGCGCAAGCGGGAGGCACTCGGACGTGGAGCTGTGCGGCTGTTGTCCGATGAAAGGCCCTGCAAGGGGGTAAGTACATTGCAAGCTCACCTACACAACGGTCCCTGCCATTCTCTCTCACAGTTCTCCTTCAACTTAATTGTGAGCCAAGAAATTGCATTTTATTATGAGCAACAAAGGCGGCCGCCCGAGAAAAGGCGAGTTTCGATTTCATTTTTTGCCAGCGCCCGGGCAAAGTTTTGCGCAAACTTTGACAGGACTCGCTAGTGGGTGGGACGGCAGCCAGCACAAACGAACAAAAAATTGACAATGGCGCCTGCCAGAAACAATAAGGGACTCTTTCGTTTGGGGCAGGGTGGGCGAACGGTTAACTTTCAAACGTCGCGTCGCGTCGCGTCGTATCGCATCGTATCGCAAGTTGGCAGCGTCTCAAATAAAAGATGACGAAAAGATTTCATTAAGTACACTTTTAGCAAACGGCAAAGTGCTGCAACAAGGCGAAAAACTGCAAATGAAAAACGTTGTTGCAAAAACAATTGCAGCAACTGCCATTGCAAACAGCAATACAAAAGCCACTCCACGCTCCACACACTGTGAACTACGGCACTCGACTGTGTGGACTCTCGAGTGCGGAAAGTTGATTTCGAATACCCTGTAAACTGAATATTAAAAGCTATTTTGAAACTGTGTGGAAATGGCGGATAAGTAGAAGCGATTATGTGACTTGAAATAATATTGAGCAAAAATATAGTACATAAGTCAATTTATGCTCTAGTTAGCTAAAAATAAAATATGTTTTTTAAAACTTTTCTAGATATAAATCTATTGAATTATTGAATTTTAAATATATGTTCCAAGAAAAATCTGAGACTAGAAAAAATAGAGCCACAACATTTTCTATACAGTTTCTTAGTTTTTCTGTCCGGCATAATATTTTACTAGCTTCAAGAATCCTGCTAAGATCCATTGAGATAAAAGACGTCTGCTCTAAACGAACTCATATAAGAATAGTGTAAATATTCTTTTTAGCATCTACTGACATGTAAAAAGATATTGTCTACAGATATTTGACAGATCTTAGACCTAACCAGCAGGAACAGGTCAGCTGCTAGTCGAGCACTTGCGAGTCAAAGATTCATGTCAGTTTTTTGTCTGCAGCATAGAGCGAAAAGTGAATGTATATATATATATATATATATATATATAAATATATCTATATATATGTATGTAGACAGAGAAACTGTGCAGTGGCACTATAGGACAATGCTTGCAGCATAAAATAGTAGTAGCAGTAGCTGCAACAGTAGGTAGAGCTGCCCTTTCAGTAGAAGGTAGTGAAATATTTCCCCTTATGCAAAAATTTGCATTGTTATTAGCTTGGCAGTCTCCGGAGCGAGTGCGTGCTGGCTAACCAACTCCGCTTCAGCTTCAACTTTCAACTTGGCCTGTCTGCTGCTGCATACCATATTCCATATTCCTGATCCCGAATCCCGATGCCATTGCCGTTGCCAGTGCAGTTGCCGTTGCCGTTGCCGTTGCCGTTGCCGCAGCCGATCCATAGCTCCCACTGTCTGCCGCAGATAGTTGTGGAGCTTGATTTTATTGTGTTCACATTCGCCACTCGTAAAACTTATTAAAAAGTTTATGCCGCATGCTGCCACGCAGTGCTGCGTGTCTGTGTCTGGGCAACGGGTTGGACATGCAGCCATGCTGCAGCAGCAGCAGCAGCATCATCCATTTGTCCGATCCCCGCTCCACACTCCATCCATATACCGCTCTGTCTGCTACGTGCGTGGGCGTTGCGGCTCGTCGGAGGTGTTGCCTGGCATTAAAGTTGTGCCCAAGTTTTTCCAGTGATTTTCTTTGGTTTTGGTGTTTTGGTCGGTGGGAGACGACGACCAAATTGGCAGCCAAGTTGCATTTATTACGCCTCGCCACAACGACTTATATGGCAGCCAGGACCACGGACCGGGGCAGCAGCATTCGGACCAGGCCAGCACCGGGTTCAGAGTTCATTAGAGAGACAAGACGCGCCAACAGCGTGCGAAGTTTGTCCTCCACTCATATTTAATGCCAAAGTGCAGTCACATATTTGATTTCATATGTTTTGATCAATGATTCAAGGGCTTACCTTATAAGATACTTCAGTTATTTATGATGCGACTTTTAGCACTGTAAATTATACAGCTGAAAGTTTACCTGCAGTCAGTGTGGGCAGCATCTTAGAGTTTTCTGGGTATTAAAACTAAGAAATGACTTTAAAATGAGGAAGTCGTTGCTTTTGCGAGTGAAAATTTTATTACTTAAAGGAATAGAAGCATGCTCTCTAGATATGTGTGAATGTTATTTTGAGATACACAGAAATATGAGCAATTAAATATATATATATATATATATAGTTGTGAAACATATGTGTACATATTTTACGAGTATTGCGGTATTTATATAATTATTTTGGTTTGAGTTAAGCAATAAATAGAGAAAGATTTATACGAAGCAAAATAGAGAAGAAATAAATAAATACAGTTAGATAGTCATGGATATGTAGTTATGCAGCCATTGGCTAATGACTGTGGTTAAATCGATCTTACATAACTCGGCTAATATAGCTAGCAAGATATAACTTTTTAGATTTATGGAGATTAATAACCAATGCCTGGCACTATTGAAGCAAGTTGTACTCTTATAGGTTTATTATAAGTGTATATATTCAATTAGCGGCGGTGTATCTCTGAACATTCCTGGCTTTTATTCAAGCATAATACAGTATTTATTCGGGTCAAAGCATTCGAGTTCAACTCCAGATGAATGCCATATTAATGAAATCTGATAAGCTAAGTCAGATTAAATGTGATGAGCACAAACTGACGTGCCGGAGCCTGTGCGCGCTGCTCTGCTACTTAAAATTCACAACCATAACTGCGACTGGCTAAACGAAGGTTAAAATGTGAACAAAGCAAATGCCGCCCACTGAATCAGGCATCAGCAGGGCAAGGGAAAAGCGTGGACAGCCAAGCAGAAATTATACTTAAAGGAAATTTATGAAAACGCTCAATGAGCCTGAATGATGTCTTCTCCCTCGGTGCTGCTGCCAAAAAGCACTCATATTCAGTCAAGCGTAAATGAGTCGCAGCACAAGGCCAGAAACGTGCGTCAAACTTGGAATCAGAGTCGGGTCAGGGACAGAGAGTCAGAGCCAGAGCCAACAACAGAGACAGATCCAGAGTTGGCAAATGATTTGGCCAGCTCCGATTTTCCACACGAACAACAATGGAGTCAACTGTAGAGAGCTGAGCGGATGTGACAGCCGAGCTTGACAAGGATGTGACACTAAAGGTCGTCCTGGCAACGATGAAATACAAAATAATTATTAAGAAAATCTCATGAAATATATTTTTTACAAAACTGTGGCAGGGCCAAAGGGGGATCCAAATAAAAGGTAGCTGGAAATGCTGTTGCCTCTCGCCTGTTAAGCAAAAAGTTTATGTACTGAAAAGGGCACGATAACGAGCGTCATTAATAATTTGAAGGCACTGTGCAATGTGCGACAGAGATAGAGTGAATAAATGGAAAAGGCAAAGAGACAGAGAGAGAGAGAGAGAGATGGGATTGGGCAGGAAATTGTCTTGCTTGTTTGTGCTCAAAGTTTGTCGGGCACAGCGCCAAATTTCGGATTAGGACAGACACACGAAATGGGTTACGAACAGAAGCAGCAAGCGTTGTTTGTCAGGTGGCGCCTCCGCGTGACAGCCAGCTACAATTTGTCAATAGCATAATTGTCTGCAGTGCAGTAGAGGATTCCACGGTTCAAGCAGAGTTCATCAATTGCAAGCGACTGGCGACTGGGCGACTAGCGACTGGGATTAATTGGATTGATAAGATAAATGAGCAGCGATTGCTGTTAAAAACACATGACATTTGGCAGCAGCAGCGCAAATCCTGAAAAATGTTCCTTTTAAGTGGACACATGGGCAACCTGGGGTGAATGGGAATCTAGAAAACTTTTGCACTTGCAATTGAGTTTAGCCACAGAGAAACTTACTTACTTAGAGCGCCTGTTCCGGCCAAAAGTTGTCTAAACCACAACAAAGTGCTGGCCCGAAAAAGAAGTAACTAGAAGAAGTAAGCCTCACCGCAACAGGATGCGCAAAATACGTCATTAGCGACTGAGCCTGGTATGGAGCCTAATTAAAGTGCGTGGTGACCGTGGAGCGAAGAGGCGAAAGAGGGCAACGAAGTTGCTAACAATTAACGACGCATGCAGTGGGCCAAGTTGTCAGGCCAAGAAAATTATCAGCCCTGTAACCAGGAGTCTGAGCTGGCGCTTCGGAGGTACTGGCTGTCAAGTTTAATGGCTTGCAAAAGTAAATGTCGATTGCGGGGGTGGGGTGGGCCAACCGACTGCATCCGACTGAGGTTTAATAGCCTGGAAAGTTAAGAAGCTGCAAGCAGCATAGTCAACACTACCACCGCTTATACTTCTCTCCAACAATGTCCTAGCAACGTCTTGTGGCTTTGCGGCCCTGCTGGGGTAATTTGCGTGCGCGACTTGTGGCAGTAGCGGGCGGGGCGATGGCGGTTAGCAAACCAGGAAACGCTAGCTGAACGAAAATGGCGCAAATTGGCGTCGGCTTTTGTCGTAGCACAGAAAAGGGTTTGAGGCCCAAGGGCTAAGGACTAGCCACAAAATTGGCAGCGCTCGCATGTGGCACAACTTTTTTTTTGGCGTGGGCCACCGAAATAGCATTCATAAATCAGGGCAATTGCGTTAATTGCTTTGCATGCTCATAAAATGTACCAAGGCCGGGGGACTTCCTGCGTAAGGTTCAAGAAAGTTGCAAATAGATTTTCTACAAATGGCCGGGGTAAAAAGACATTAACTTAGCACGAACTTATTCGAATTTGTTAAATATATCTAAGGAATTTCCTATGACATTTGTCTGATTTGTTCGTTATAACTCAATTGCCTGGAGTGTTCATAGGGCGATGTTAGCTAGTTGTTTGTCTACATTTTGGCCTCTGACTGATTCTTTCCGATAAGAGTAATACTACCCTGTGAGCGCAATAGGCTATATTATTAGATTCATTAGATTGGGGAATTAAGATGGTTTAAGTATCTAAGAAATGCAGTAACTGCTTTCAGTTTAAAGACAACAAGTCTTGTAATGTTAAAAGACTTTTTGGAAGATTTTTTAATCTTCGGTGCTTAGTTCTAAATGTCAACTTTCTGTAGATCCAGCTGTATTCAGCATCTCAGTGCCAATTGGTTTGTTGATACGAACCTTATCTACACTCTCGTTTTCAAGATGCTGCAGGGCAAATGCGAATCTATTCATAGAGTTTTCAAAGAACATTCTAAGGATACCATCGCGTTAGCCTGTTTACCGTATGTTCTTGTTCCTTAAGGTAGACCGTCTTCAAGCTACTACGTTTTCCTACATAGCTGCCCTTAGGAGGTAGGAAGTAGGAAGTATCCGCATGCGAAAACCAAACATGTTCCTTAAGCAGTACGAAGACATTAGCTCTCCTGACCCTATTATGCTGCTTGCTCTACGTAAATGAGTTCATTATGCGAATTGCTTCAACTTTAACGAGTTGAGGTTGAGTCATTAAAACTGCGCTTCCGTTTGGGGCTCCGTGACAAGAGCAACAGCAGCAACAGCAACTCCTACTCTGACTCCTACTCGGATTGCGACTGCGACACCGACACCAGCATTTTCCTTGCGGCCTTTTCTCGTGTTTCGTGTTTTATCCAAACAGTTTAAAGTCTCTGGTTTTTCCACTCTCTAGGGAGCACTTTTGAGACGAGGCCGGGCACATGGCCGGCAGCTATTTTGCATTATTTCCGTTGTGAAAAAGCAAAACCACAAAGTAATCGTGAGGGAGAGTGAGGGCGGTCGAGGGGTGTTTGGGGGTTCTGTTCTCGTACTGGTTCTGTGCCATGTCCTCGCTTGGGGGGCTTAAGCGTTTTATTACCGTTATTTAGCATTTATAGTCGCTTAAATATTTTGCCCAGCCAAAGCAGACGCTGCAGATTTCTATCGCCACGCTGTCTCCCCGTGCAGAACTTTAGCATATTTTTGTTATTTAAACGACTTACCTAATGCCTCGCTCTGTTCTCTCTGCTCTCCTTTTGCAGTGCGATGAACAACTCTCCGGCGGTGACATTGTGGTCTTTGCCCAGCGCTTGGGCGCCCAATTGTGCTGGCATCCCGGCTGCTTTGTGTGCAGTGTATGCAAGGAGCTGCTCATGGACTTGATATACTTTCAGCGCGATGGCAATCTCTACTGTGGCCGACATCATGCCGAAACCCAGAAGCCGCGTTGCTCCGCTTGCGATGAGGTGAGTAAAGAGCTGCAAAAATTGAGTATCTGATTGATGAAACCGGTTAAATTTGAAATTAGAATTCAGAAAAGTTGGGAATTTACAATTAAAATATCTGTTGTATATATATCTATATAATCGAATCGGTAGATGAAACGTTTTAGATTCCACTTGATTTTCCATTTCCCATTTTCATTCATTACCTACCATCTCGCTGGCTCTTCTCTTTCACACAGATCATCTTCTCGGATGAGTGCACGGAGGCCGAGGGTCGCACCTGGCACATGAAACACTTCGCCTGCCAGGAGTGCGAGCACCAGTTGGGCGGCCAGCGTTATATAATGCGTGAGGGCAAGCCATATTGCTTGGGCTGCTTTGACACCATGTTCGCCGAGTACTGTGACTACTGCGGCGAGGTCATTGGTGTAGATCAGGGCCAGATGAGCCACGACGGGCAGCACTGGCATGCGACGGATCAGTGCTTCTCGTGTTGCACGTGCCGCTGCTCGCTGCTGGGTCGTCCGTTTCTGCCACGCCGTGGCACCATTTACTGTTCGATAGCGTGCAGCAAGGGCGAGCCACCAACGCCATCGGACACGAGCTCCGGTCCACAGCTACGGCCGACGCATCGCGCCTCCACTTCCAGTCAAATTGCGCGCTCGCCGCGACGCACAGCTGATTCGGCGGGGCGTGGAAAGGCTGGTGTGGGCAATGGACATGGTCATGGTGGCAAGACTGCGGGCAGCGCAGGGGATTTACTAGAGCGGCAGGAGCGCAAGCGCATGGAGGCTGCGGGCGTAGCCGATCTGCTGCTGGGTGGCTGTGTGCCTGGCATGCCACGACCCGCCCATCCGCCGCCCATAGATCTTACGGAGCTGGGCATCAGCCTGGACAATATCTGCGCAGGCGACAAGTCTATTTTTGGAGACACACAGCTGACGTCTTCCATGCCAGACATGCTGCTGTCCAAAGCAGAAGATTCGCATAGCTATCAAAGCATAGACAAGATCAATTTGAACTCGCCTAGCAACTCGGACATGACGCAAAGTACCCAGGAGCTGGGCAACGAGCTAGAGCTGGACAACGAATCAGTGCGCGAGCTGGAACTGCCACATGATGGCTACGAACAACTCTTCGCTGCCAAACAGAACGAGAAGGAGGAGCAACAGCAGCTGGACAATCGGCCGCCGCTAAAGGAGGTTCGCTTCCACAGCGTGCAGGACACGATGTCCCGGTCGAAGAGCTACACGGACAACTCGAATGCGAGACGTCGGCGCCGACGACGCAATCAATCGCGCAGTTCCTCTGAGATGCAGATCAATCAAACGAATCTGCGACTGCACAATGCCCAAACACAAGCTGGCGGCGGTGCTTTGAATCTGCTTAACAATCTGGACAATTGCGACGTGGCCAGCATTTGTTCCACTTGCTCCTCGAGCTCTTCCAGCGATATGGATGACTACGTCTATCGGCTGCCGGCCCGCAAGCATTATGGCGGCGTGCGTGTTGCCTATGTGCCCAACGATGCGCTGGCCTACGAGCGCAAGAAGAAGCTTGCCCAGTCGGGCGATAACAATGGGCAGCTGGGCAACTCGGCCGGCAGCTGTTTGGGCGCCCAATCAACAATGCCAGCAATCATGCACGAGAGCAAGAATTGCACAATATCATGACCACCTCCAATGCTGCCGCCGCCGCCGCTGAATCTCAGCAGCTATTACATCCTGGACACCATACTCGAGGAGCAGAGCCTCAGCCTGCTGCCCGAAAAGAAGCCGGGCTGCCTGAGGCGTGTCTGGAACTTTTTCGGGCTGGGCAAATCGCGTCCAGGCAATGCACAGCGTCTATATAGCGTCTAAAACTGGCTGGCAATTGTGTAAATAGACATATCGATAAATACTATATATATATATATACATATACAGACATACACATACACATATACAAGAAATAACTATATGCTAAGGATTGTGGGCATTTAAATGAACTTTTAAGTGAGCTGGTAAGACAACACTTTATTTTTATTTTCTCTTCTTGTACATGACTTTTATCTACAGTATCCAAACCCTTATCTTTTCGAATACACTTCACTCTCCAGCTCACAAGTATTCCAAGTATCTATAAAGATATATATAAGATATCATTGATTTTATCAACAACTTTGTACAAATCTAAAAGGTATATCAAGCATTTACATATATATAATATTTTCTTACAATATATATATATGGTTTAAATATAGATTAGTATATAGCTAAGAATCTGCCAGCCACAAAATAAATCTAAAACAAATGCAACGAACAATAAATGATGAAGTAAAGCAACGGCCAACAAAAGAATTTGTGTATAAAACAATAAGAAAACAATGAGAAAAGAGCGAAAGTTTTCGCATAGCAAATGTGCAATAACTTATAAAGGAAATTCCCCCCTCCAGTCTGCAACCCTAATTTACATAGTTACAGATATACATAAACATATACATATATATATATATATTACTATTAACGATTCTTTATATACAATCTGGTTTTTGCTGGCAAAAGATTCTTTTGTCTTCTTGTAGGTCTTTATGTAATCTTTCGGCGTGAAAGTGAAAGAGTTATATAAAAGGGGAATGTGTCCAGAATAGTTGAGAAAGTTTTTTGTGTTTTACAATATAAAAACAAAGCAAAAATTTAAAGAGCGTTTGCTAAATTTATTGCGTCTATAAAACGTGAAAGAATTTGAAAGTTATGCCAGACCTATAAATGGAACGCATACATATGATGAGTCTTAAGTATTACCAACTATATCTTAAGTCTATCGTTAGTATTAAAGTCAGTGTATATGGAAACATAATCAAAAATAACAATATAAATATATATACAATATGCATATGTGTATTTTAACGTAAAATCAACGAATTACATTATGTGTTTCAATCGCTTTATTTTCGTGGCACCAAATGCACCCAATAGCCGCTTTGTGGTGTCAGCTGGAAGCCACGTGAATCGCTCAACAGATCTTTGACAGTCTTGGGCGAGCGTTCGATCTTATACTTGAGCACGAGGTTGTATAACATGGCCTTGGCCTGCATCAGAGCATAGCGATTACCTGGAATATATAGAAATGCGTCGATTAATATAGCAAAAGGTAATCATATATGGGTAGGTAAAGTCGAAAGTGCCTGGAGTAAGATAATTTTTTTGTCTAGCTACCTGAATAATCTTTGCATGCAAAAACGTATAAGGCCTAACAACAGTTATCGATTATCACTTCATACCCAACCTAAACATCTGCCTATGAAATTGGAATATTTTGTTAATATTCACGACAATGCTCTAGCACTAAGACTACTGGATGACTCAAGCAACCACGGGCGACTCAAAAGATTACATGTCCTAGACCTACCCCACAGAAATAGATAAATATGTAAAGTAGGTAAATATATGGATTGATCTCATTGGAGTCCAAGCCATCCGGTTACGTAATATTATTGTTAACAAATTTGTTTGTCTAGTATAAGACAGATTGCAAATAAAAACAACAATTAAAAAAAAAAAATAAAAATAAAAAAAAAATGTATCTAGCTTTTATAAATTTCGTGTTATCAGTTGATTGAAAATAATGTAAGATATTTGTTTAGCTAATTAACTAGCAGACATAGCTTAGAATATGATATTGCGTCTCTTAAGTTATATTTTTATGTCCACTCACCTATGCAATTACGTGGGCCCACGCCGAAAGGCAAGTATGTGTACGGCACTAACTGATCCTTGTTCTCATCGCTGAAGCGTTCCGGTATAAACTTGTGCGGTTCGGGGAAGAATTTGTCGTCCAAATGCAGACCCACAATGGGTATATTGATGCGATCACCCGCCTTAAACTCGAATAGCTTCGAGCCATCGTCATCATACAGTGTATAGTCCTTCGCACATTGGCGATCCGTAGAAGCGGCCAGTGTCCACTTGCGCAAAGATTCGGATACAACCATGTCCATATATTTCATCTTAGTGACCGCATCATAGTTGAGCATCTGGCCCTTCAGCTCATCATGTGTTTCCTTTACCTCCTCGTAGAGGCGTTGCTGAATATCTGGATTATTAAGTAGCTCGTACGCGGTGGTACATATTAAGCTGGCGTTATTTTCGAATGCCGCGAAGAAGAAGATGAAACACTGTGCCACCAGCTCGTCATCGCTCCATTGTTGCGTGGACTCCTTCTTGGCTTCCATGAGCAGCTGAATCATATCGGGTCGCACGATATTATTCTCCTCACGATACTTCATGGCATCGACAACGAGACGTATGAAGAATTCGGTTTTCTGCGAGTCAAAGATCTTGAACCCGAGAAGCTGTAAGAGGAATTGGATACATTCGAAGGCTAAACAAGCATTTTAAATGAGAGGCAAACTTACCTTGAAGACAGCAGGCAAAGTTGTGGACAACATAAATTTGTACAGGGCCTTGCCGCGGAAGAACGCCACTGATTTGCCAATTTCATAGAAATCATTATCTGGCGTCTTGTAGGAGCTAACCTTTAGACCAAAGGCTGTGGTTGCAATCAAATCGTTGGACAACCTATTGCACACCTCCTTCAATTCTAACTCGAAGCCCTCACCGGGCTTGACAGCTGTCTTGGACATCTGATCCAAATGATCCATGCATTCGGCGAAGCTTTCGTTCATCAGGCCAAACATGCTACGCATCTTAGCTGATGTAAAGACCGGTGTTAGAGTATTGCGCATATGCTTCCAGCGCTGATCCTTCATTACACTCAACATATCGTTGACCAATCGCTCCTCGGTGGTAAAGAAGAGTTGATGGTTGGGAAAGTAGTCAAAGTCCTTGACAGTGATCTTCTTAATGATCTCAGGGTCGTTCACTTGTATCATAGGCGTACGAAAGTTGAAAAAGCCCACCAGCTTGCTACAAATGAATCAAAGTAATCAGTAAACAGTAAATACTTGACATAAGTCTAGTATACGAACGTATACTCACTGTTGTCGGGTACGTGCATAGAACTCGGCGAGGAGTTTCTGAAATGAGGCCTTGCTCATCACAACGGCTGCATTATTGCCGAAAATGGGCAAAGGTTTTTCAAAAGGCAAACCACGCACTATAAACTCATCATGCCGCACCGTTGTCCATTTGTAGACGTAGTAAAATAGACCCACCAGGGCCAGCAACAATATAAGTTCCATGTTTATTGATGACCTTGACCGTAACCCTGGGGACTGCGAATGGAGCGCTTCTAAACACCCACAAGTCGCAACTGGAACTAATTTTGTGCGGCTGAGCGAACAAGTATTTATATGTCGGCTCTCTCCATGATCCAGAGATATGGTTGCGCACTCGATGTATATAAAATACTTGATAGATAAAACTTGTTCGGACTTGCCAAGTAAACTCGTTCAGAATTTATTATTTCGTGAGCGTTGCTTCCAATTGCGCGCTCTCCCTATCCTCTCTCTCTCTCTCTCTCTCTCTCTCATTCTGTGAGTCCTACTACAGGTAATCCGGTTGATACGATTGCGTACCCTGTACATATATATCAAGAAATTGAACAAATTGAACTTGCTCTTCTATTAATGGGCATGTGTTGGTAGAGTATTGCCCATTTATATTTTATATTGATGAATCATTTAATAATTTTCACATGATTAGAATTTACGTTTAAAAAGATTACATGCAAACAAGCAGCTGATTAATATTTACTAAAAGCCTGATTAGACAGAAAGATAATTAGATGAGAAAGAGAGAGAGAGAGGAAGAGAGAATTGGTACGAATTACTTTTATTTTACAGATAAATATAGACCAGTCATAGATAAGGCCGTTCTGAGTTGAACACATTTATCGCCACAAGGTACTTATATTATAATGGCGAATATAAATATATTTTTTATGAGTCATACACGCAATGAATAAGAGATTATCTTAAAACTAAGCAGCAGTGAGAGACAGATCAATCGAAAAATCTAAAGAGAAAGAATGAAAATATTATTTATCAATTGATTAATTGATATGATTGGCTGATGCAATGCAAGCTCGACCTTTTTCAATATGCTTAACGACATTTTGATAACGGGAATGTTATTGGTTTTGTTTCTGCCAGTGGTCGATTAGCATTTGATAAGATAGAAATGCCATAAGAGCCTTATGTTGAGCAAGTACAACCAGTTACACGGTAAGGGTGTCGAGCGACCTTCAGCATGCGCTTCCCAAATGCTCTTTTTCAATGAGTTTAGGGCTTATAAGAATATTTGTTTGCTTGATTTAAAATTATCTAATCACCGGTGAGTCCATTGCTCTTGTTGAGTTGAGAACATTGCTTGGCTGACAACTTGATAAATTGATACACAAAATTTGATTGAATGTGGATAGCTGTTAACTTTGCCTGGAACATAGGTAATCCATTAGAACTGAAAAGTTTTGGAAGCAAACAAAACTATGACATAAACAAAACCGCTTTGTTTACGGTTTAAATATTTTATCATATTGAACTATAGTTGGACCAACTTCTGTGACTCAGACTGGGAACTGGACTCGGTTGAATACCTTATACAAAATGCTCTATAGAAACTTGAAGCTTAACAGTTAAACAGCAAATTAGCCGCGAGCGCTATAACCAAATGCCAGTAATTAAATATTTAGTCAGTTTGTTTAGTCTGCTAGATGGATGGTTGGTTAGACTTGGGTTGTTTTGACTTGGGTTAACTTGGCTTGACTTGATTGCCAGACTATGACTGGCACATTTCGCGTGTTGGAAATTTGCAAAATGCTTGTCATATGTTGTAAGTTAAAGAGAAAGGGAAAAGGAAAAGAGAGCGAGAAAAGAGAACTGACTTTCCATGAACAAACAAGTAAATTTAATGTTAAAGCGGAGCACAAATGGAAAACAGCTTACGTATTTTGCCATACATTATTCAAGATTAGATTTTCATTATT